GAGGCTGCAATAAGTTAATAGCAAGAACTGCAACAAGTCAGTTTCAAGATTATACTAGGCCCTTTGGCCATTTAACTTTAGCAGGGTGACCTTAAGTTAGTTTAGTAGAAAGGTGTTGATGGTGAAAAGAAGAAGTATAAGAAAGACTCCAACTATGCTTGTGCTAGGTCAAGTATATAACCACTTTCTTAGTTTTGTTTTTTTGAAGAACCACTTTCTTTATTCATAACAACTAGACTTTTGGACTTAGAATTGTTTCTCTTTGTTTCTCGATAGCAAAAAATGGAGATTTGGCTTACTCTGCTAAAAGATCTATATTTGTACTATATTTATTTTGAAAAAGTCACGTTGTATGCTACCAAACGACAACAACTCGCAAACATGTATAGCCATGTGCTACAAGTTAATATTTATTGACGTCTTCGTTAGAGGATTACGTGAAGCCGTGCCCTGTTAGATGAGTAAGAAATAGATTTAATAGAATTAGTTGACATTACAGAGATATATACATGAGTAGCAACAGTATATATAATTTTTAATAGTAGTGCTTACCTTTGAGCTTGCTTTTGGGTGGAACTACTTTGGGTTTTTCTTTTCCTTTTTTCCTTTTATATCAAAAAGAAAATTTCTGTTCATTTTATTTTCTTTTTATTTGTTTTTGCTTACACTTAGATAGCAAGCTTTTACTTGTTAGCAAGTTTTTCTTGCTATTCTAGCTTAAGTTCTTATAGCATGTAGCATTTCCACTTTTCGTTATTTGTAACGATTTTTTATTTTTTCTATCTTGAGATTAGGTATTAACAACTTTTAGTTTAGTCTTAGATTAGATTAGGAGAGATCTAGGATCTTGATATGGGCTAGAAGTTGCCTTTTTTTGATTATTAGTAACCTATACTATTTTGATAGTATATTACTAATAGGATATAAAATACTTCTGCAGCAGATCGAACTTAGGCACTATCTGAGCAGCTGAGTTAGTCCTAAATTGCAACAAAAAGAGTAGTAAAGTATTATATCGAGATGTAGTATTTTATATTGCCTGTATTATTTTTTAATAATTCTCCTAATAAAATGAAGGGCAAGATCACCTAAGTGGAAAAAAAAAAAAAAATATTTAACTATATTTAATAATATTTAACTATGTTTGAAGATATTTAGCTATATTTAAAAATGTTTAGAAAAAAGATATAAAAACTCTACCTTTCTAACATGACAGAGGTTCGATTTTATTTACGTATGTTATGCAAGAATTTATATATAAAATAATAAGAGAAAAAGTTTATTATATGACAGCACATGAAAGGAATCATCAGTTTACTGCAAAACTTCGCTAGTATATTCTTCAAGTATTTAGAAAACATATCATGATAACTCATCTCTGAGATCTTTTCATTTGCGTTACTTTGATATGACATGAATTTTCATAATTATTATTAATAGTTATGTATATATTTAATGCTAAATCTATTTTTTTTATTTATTTTTTCTTATGCTACGAAAGTACATTGCTTTTACTATTTAACTAACTATATAGCTAAATATGCTATGCCAAATAATCTTTTACTAATTATTTGAATGCTATTTAATCTATTAAAAGGAATCCATTCAATCACATTTTCATATTCTTTTATATAATAATCAATATTCTTGTTTTTGTTTACATTATCTTTTTACCAACAATCAATTTGTTCTAATTATACTGCCAATCTAGATGAAATATCTAGTTGCTCCTCTACTTCTGGTGTTACTTCTATATCTTCTTCTGTATTATCTTTGTTATTGTCATCGTCAAGATCCTCCTTTATAAGTATATCTGCTCCTTTTTCTATATACTTTAGGAATGAACAAATATTTTCAAAAATCCTTTTTTTATAGTATTCTTTACAATAAATGCACCTCCTACTATAACAGCATATATAATAGCTGTGACTACAAACTAATGCTACATTATTATTATCAAATAGAAGCTTACAATAATCGTATAATTCAAGATCTAGAGGATATGATATGCTATATGCTATTAGTAGGTATTGTATGTCTACTTCTTTCTTTAAAGTAGAGAGATAGTATGTTTCCAGTAGTTTTTTTTTAATAGTTTTTTTTTTGTTTTTTTCAACAGCTTTTTTGGTATCTTTCTTGCTAGCTTTTTTGCTAGTAGTTTTCTTA